CGTTCGTTCGTTACGTTCGTTCGTTCGTTCGTTTCGTTTACGTTTTACGTTTTCGTTTTTTCTTTTTCGTTTTTACGTTTCTTTGTTGTTGTTGTGTGTAGGAGAGAGAGAGAGAGAGAGAGAGAGAGAGAGAGAGATTTATGTTTCTTTACATCTAGTCCAACCACTCAATAACACCCTTGACATGCAGGAGAAATGGCCCTATTAGTTGAGGGGCTGGGGGTGGGAGGTGAGACCTCGATTGAAGAGTACATAATCGGCCCTGGCACCGACCTCGATGATGACCGCGACCCTGCTGCTACCAAGGGTCAAATCAAGCTCTACGGCCCCGAGCAAGGCCTCTCATGGGTCGCCCAACCCATTGCTGCAGGCCAAAGCACCCTTGGTCTGACGTCACGGCGAGGGAGCATGGAAATCCAATCAAGTGTTCCTCTAATGGATCCTCTCGTTACCCTCTTTGGAAGCATTCATGAAAAGATGCCACCTCCTGAGTCAGGAGGAAGCATGCGAAGCATGCTCTTCCCCAACTTCGGAAGCATGTTTAGCGTAGCCGAGCAGGCACCTCCAAAGCAGGACCATTGGGATGAGGAAAGCCAAAGAGACAACGAAGACTATGATGCCTCTGATGCAGGTGCGAAGAGGATGATCTTTTATTCTAGTGACAATATGCTATAATCCTCATGAACATAAGGAGTCCATGATCATGAGTCAACGGGTTGGATGATGTTGTGGGGAGAGTGGGACCCATCTAAATGTGATGTAACTTTGATCATGGTTCCCACTGTCTCTACACCATTGTGCAATCTCAACTGGGCAGCAACGAGTCCATACTTGAGGATTATTATATGCACTTACTCTATCCTCTTTTCCTCAACTCAATGATATGTTCTGCTTATTAAAAACAGATGCAGGTGGGGGTGACTCAGATGATAACTTGCAAAGCCCATTGCTCTCGAGGCAGACGACTAGCATGGAGGGCAAAGACATGGTCCATGGGAGTGTGTTAAGCATGAGGCGCCATAGCAGTCTAATGCAAGGCGGTCATGAGTCGATGGGCATAGGAGGGGGTTGGCAATTGGCTTGGAAGTGGTCAGAGAGAGAGAGAGAGGACGGCACAAAGGAAGGGGGCTTTAAGAGGATATATTTGCATGAAGAAGGGGTGCCTGGTTCAAGGAGGGGGTCAATTGTTTCATTGCCTGGTGGAGGGGATGTAGGTGAAGGGGCTGAGTATGTGCATGCGGCTGCTTTAGTTAGTCAGCCTGCACTGTACTCGAAGGAGCTCATGGCACAGGATCCTGTGGGGCCCGCTATGGTGCACCCATCTGAGACTGCGAGCAAGGGACCCAGGTGGGCTGATCTCTTGGAAGGGGGTGTGAAGCAGGCTTTGTTTGTTGGTATTGGGATCCAGATACTTCAGCAGGTATGGGTTTTGTCAAAAAAATTTTTATTCTTTTTTGGGTTTGCTATTTTTTACGATATTTTGCTTTATAAGTGAGACATCGTGGAAACTCTACCGAGTGTAAGTTTTGTTAATGTTCTAATCAATGGGTCCCACTCATCTCGGCTCCGGTTGCTCCCCTCTGCTGGGGTTAGCAAAAACGGGGGTGCATATTGCAAAACATGGGTTCAGGTAGCCATTCCCTTTCTTCTATTATGGACATCATTGGAAGTTGGGAAAGTGTAGCATAATCCAATGGACTATGGTATAGGGGATTCCAGTTCCACATCAACTGCCCATTCCAAAGCTAGTATGATTAATACGAGCAGTGAATTCATATTGGATGGGCTGGTGAACAATTGAAATCCCTGCCTATGTGATTTTGACATTGGTGGATGCTGATACCTGTCTTACAGACTGGTATTGCTATTTCTACTGAAATTGACCTGAATGCAGCTTAATTTATCAGTCACAAAGACCCATTATCATCTCAATAGATATTCGTTGAATTTGTTGTTTGTCAAATGGGCTAGTTTCCTTGCACTCTTCCTGTTACTTGGCCTGGTTTTGATAGTCACCTATTCTATCCTCTTAACTAATTAGAAGAATCCTCACTTAGATTTTGACAAAAGATCAATTAAAAATAAACGAAGGATAGAACATCAAATCCACAACTGGGCCGATGTTTTGACATTGACCTACTTAGTATTCGTTTCTGGTACAAAAAGAATACTATTTAAGAACAAATTTGGCTCAAACTATCTGAAAATTGAAACCTGGCCAAAAGCAATCTGAAATTTTTGTTTGCACATGTACAAATTCAGCATGAATTGAATCATGTGAAATCATAATTTCCGTTTGTTCCAACCTGACTTAAGGTGCTTCATTTTTTCTTGCTGTTTGCCCAGTTTGCTGGTATAAATGGGGTGCTCTATTACACACCTCAGATCCTTGAGAAAGCAGGTGCCGAGGTCCTCTTCTCCAGTTTGGGCATTGGGTCTGACTCTGCCTCTCTACTCATCAGTGCTTGCACCACCTTTTTGATGCTTCCTTGTATTGGCGTTGCCATGAGGCTCATGGATATCTCTGGACGAAGGTATTTATTTCTTTCCTTGATTGTTTGCACATGATATTTGTATGAGCTCATCTGTTCATGTGTGTGATTCTCCAACTTGCATGTATTTAATGGTGAACCACGCAAAGTATGCTTTGCATTTTTACCGATCATGTATTGCAAAACATCTTCTAATGGGGTTAACTTTTGTTATGTTTGCTGATCTCATAAAAAGAAAAAAACAGAAAAAAAAGAGAGAAAGGAAACATTCCCATCCATTAAGCTGGTATTTTCACATGTACTTGGTAAGTTACAAAATCCACCCCTACCGCTACTTTGTTTGCACCATTGGAGAAAAGTTATCTAAGCTTGAAGATTGTTGTAATATTATAACCAAGTCCAGAAGCTTTATGTATGTTTATTTATGTATAATGCACTGATCAATCCTTGTTGGAGGTGGCTACCTTAGAATTTTTCCCACCAAATAGGTCTACATCAAGGGTCAACATTGAGTCCGTACATCTTTGTCTTAGTTATGGACGACACCTACCGGATGAGGTACTGTGGTGCTTGTTGTTCGCAGATGACATAGTTTTGATCGACGAGACCCAAAACAGTGTCAACACAAAGTTAGAATTTTGGACGGATGCTCTAGAATCCAAAGGTTTTAAAATTAGCCGAACTAAGACAGAGTATATGAAATCCTAGTTTAGTAATAATAGGAGTAGAGACGAGGAAGAAGTTAAGATTGACGGCCAGGAAGTTAAAAAAAAAAAACCGCAGTTTCGATACCTTGGGTCGATAATCTAGGCAAATGGAGAGATTGAGGAAGATGTCGCATAGAGTTGGATGGGCAACGTGGAGATGTGCAACTGGAATTTTATTGATCGCCGCATACAAATGAAGCTGAAGGGCAAGTTCTATAGGACAGTTGTGAGAACAACTTTGCTCTATGGGGTGGAATGTTGGGCGGACAAAAAACAATATACCCATAGAATGAGTGTAGCGGAGATCAGGATGTTGGGATGGATAGTGGCAAGACAAGAAGGGATAGAATTCAAAATGAATTCATTAGGAATAATTTAGGTGTGGCACCAATAGGCGATAAGATGAGAGAGAGTAGACTTAGGTGGCTGGCCATGTGTGGCGCTGACCAAATACAACAACTTTTAGAAGGTGTGAGTTCGTTCAAGTGGAAGGATTGAAACGGGCAAGGGGTAAGCCCAAAAGGACATGATTGAAAGTAGTCCGAAAAGATATGGGGACTTATGGCCTCACTAAGGGTATGACCTTTAATCGAGCAGAATGGCAGACCAGGATTTGTGTTGCCAACTCGAATTAATTAGGAAAATGCTATGGTGATTATGATATTTGAATGCCTAAAACACCAAAACCTTGTATGGTCAAGAACTAAACTACCATATTTAAATGTGAAGTAGATTCTACAATTTCTTTCTGGAAAATGTTTTGATAGAGCTGCAGCTCTATCAAAATAAGTAAAGCCTTATCTCAAAACTCACTAAAAATGGCAGTTCTGGCAATGAAAAACCTTCAAATCGATCATCTCAGCTCTAACCATTATGGATGTGAAAGGAAAAAAAATTTAAGCCCTAAAAATAGTGTATGTTGTAACAATTATCTAGACCATCCATTTCACACTAAAAATAATGTATATTGTAACGATTATCTAGACCATCCATTTCTCTCTAAAAATAAGTGTTCATAGATCCGCAAGATCTGGACTATTTTTTTAGCTTCAAATTTCATAGTCAATGTTGGAAACTGATTTTAGAGCCATCATGGAAACTTTTGATGCCCACAGTACTTTCCAGACGAGGATTTGGGTGAGGCTTTACTTTGTTTTCATAAAGCCTAGGCCTTATAGAAACTGCATCATTTCTTTTTCAATATACATGATAAAGCTTTGATGATGATGATCTCCCCCACCCCTACACTACCTCTAAAACCTTCTGCAGCGATTACCCCTTATCTATATTCCGAACAATATGAACCATTCCAGCCCTGCCCCACCTTGCTGCACCCAAAAAATAAAAAAGCAATAAAAAGGAAATCTCTCTCTCTCTCTCTCTCTCTCTCTCTCTCATACAATGCCTGTGATATTACTTATTCAAACATCTGTTCTTTTCCCTTGGAAACAGGACATTGTTATTGACGACGATACCTGTGCTGGTGGTCTCACTCTTGGTGCTTGTAGTAAGTGACTCCTTCTTAGATGAAGGTGTAGCACAAGCCGCCATCTCATGTCTTGGTGTTGTGGTCTACTTTTGCTTCTTTGTTATGGGCTTTGGCCCCATCCCCAATATCCTATGCTCTGAAATCTTCCCAACCCGAGTTCGAGGACTTTGTATTGCCATTTGTGCCCTAACCTTTTGGATTGGAGACATTATCGTAACGTACACTCTCCCTTCGTTGCTCACTGCTATTGGCCTCTCAGGTGTTTTCGGGATTTACGCGGTGGTTTGCGTTATATCATGGATCTTTGTATTCTTGAAGGTGCCAGAGACCAAGGGGATGCCCCTTGAGGTTATCACTGAGTTCTTTGCAGTAGGGGCAGCAGCAAAGAAGGCTGCCGGAAATTGATTTTTTTCCGGATCACATATTTAAGAGGTCGCTTATTCTCTCTACATATATATGCTCCTCATCTCTCTCTCTCTCTATCTCTCTATCTCTCAGAACCCTATTCTTTTCTCTCAATCTGCATATGCACCCCATCTCTTATTTCTCTCAATCTCTCTCTTGATGAAGCATGTTCTTTTGGGATTTTCCTAATGGGTTCGTGGGCCCCATTTAAGGTTTTCCGGCTGTTTGGTGGCGTTGAAATATGGTGGTGCTGGTGGGTTTGGATTTGATGTTGGGTTGGGCATTGTAGTCTTTGGGTTGGTGGAAATGTGTTTTTTTTCTTTCTTGAAGGTGTTTGACGCAGGTAGATGTGGTATTTCCCCCATTAATTTGTTCTGTTTCAATTAAATTTGAATTTTCAAATGCTTTAGTTATGTAGCCATTAGATATGAGAGTTTGCTGAGGAACAACAGAGATGATAAAGTAACCTCACAGAATTGCTAAGGCTTTTCATCTTTTTTACTTTTGCTGGGTTGTCATGGCTCTCTCTCAACTTGGGATCTCACTAAGAATGGAACACTAGATGTTATGTTGTGGCGTCCTGCCTACTTGACCACAAGGCTTGAACACAAACGCGAGAGCAAGAGCAGAGCGAGAGCGAGAGAGAGATCCTATGGGTGTAGTTTATCAGGGATTTGAAACCTAGGCTTGTGGTAGGGATTTGATGATGATTAAACCTAGAGTTTTAATGTGATGAAGGTTAAACCTCTTTTAGCGTTGTGGTTACAGATGCGCTGTGCAATGTCTCAAGCTAATGATAAGACAAAGACTTGTGAAAATGGTCAAACCTCTTTTAGATTTGTGGTTACAGTACTTATGGTGTGAAATGCACGATGCAATGTCTCGAGCTAATAAAATGAGGAGTCTTTGTGAGAAGCCAGATTGTCATTAATAATAAAATTAGAAATAGCTTAGTTCACTTTAAATAGTTGGGAAGAAGTTCAGATGACAATAAATAATATAATCAAGTGTGGTTGTTACTATTAGGGTGTCTTTAAATAGTTACGATGAAGTTTAGATGACATTAAATAATAGAATTAAGTGTGGGTGCTACTATTAGGGTGTGTTCGATGGGTAGAAGAGGTGGTGCTGCTGCAAAAGCCTCCTCTTCTATTAACTTCGGAAGCTGCGGCTTCCATTAGGTACCATGAAAGCTAAAACAGCAATAGTACTTTTGAGTTTTATTGTTTCCAGGGAATCAAATGCACCCTTAATTTCCCGTGATTATTTCCTAAAATGATTAGCTTTTTAAGGTTTGCTTTTGTCACTTGAGGCGTTGGAGCCGCTCCTAAAAGAGAGTGCACAAAGGGTAAAGTGGATGAGCTATTTGGAATCCTTAAGATGCTCTAGCTTGGGGCAGTTACCATTAGAAAGATATAAAAAAAATAAAGATGATCTAGCTTGGATTTCACGAGAGGAAGAAAATGTATACCTTGCTTTCTCACACAAATAAAAAAATCGGTTTAGGGTTGCATGCTCACTTGTTTCTCCCCAAGAAATGCTGCACTTCGGTGGGATCAATGTAAATTTGCTCCTCCCCTCCGGATAAAAGCACTCTAGGATAGAGTGCTTTTTAAGATCCATGTGATTATTCGACCTAAGCTATCATCCTTAAACAAGAAAGAGAAAAATTGAATAATAGGGAGATGATGTGGGAATCACCATTTCATGATTTACATAAGATAAATTTTGAATCGGGTGCGCAAGAGCTCGCTGACTCTTCATCATTCATCTGAAAGATGGACGTTGTGCAAAGCGCACAGGGTTGAATTAGATACGGATGGTGCCAAAAATATCCTAAAAAAACACATTTCAAAGGTCAAAACATTTTTTTTCCCATATTTATGATCAGCTTGGCTTAGATGATAAATTCTTAAAATTTTGGCAAGAATCCATTTTTAAAGTGAATTTTAGAGGGGGGCCGTGTGTACATATGAGTTGACTCATAGAAACTCCATCCCTATGAGAAACCCGTAACCGGCAAGAGTGGATAGTTAAATTAGAGATCATTGGGGACATGTACTTCTTTCATATTCAGGTCCCTGTGCCAGTGCAACTACTAATGAAGCTCAATTGTGTGTGTTTTTACAGTAGTTAAGAGTTAATACTTTTGGCAGGATCAATACTCTATAGCGGAAGTCGATTCACAAAGTGCAATATGATCCTGTCATAGAGTAGACAATTCAAACTCGGATGGGCATGGTTGTGAATTACAGACTTCATTGGTATTTTCAATATTTTTTTTAGTGACGTCTATAGAGAAGCAAATACAGATCATAGGGTTGGCAATGAGCTGAACGGCTTGGCTCGGCCCTCAATAAGTAGGACTTGGGCCACAAGCTATGGCTCGAGAGCCGAGCTAGGGCCAATGCTGCTCTGGGCCACTAGCTATGGCTCGAGGGATGACTTAGGGCCAGTGCTGGCCCAGGCCACAAGCTATGGCTTGAGGGCTGCGCTAGGCCCGGTGCTGGCTCGAGCCTCTTTTTCTCCTTTTTTTTTTATTTTTATTTTTATTTTTTTTTCATATGTTTTTAGCCTGGCCCTGCCTTAATAGGACCAGGTATGCTGGGCTGGCCAGGCCTATGGGAACAAGGGCCGAGTACCCAAGGCAGGCCCGGCCCATTGCCACCCTTGGCGGATGAGTTGGCTAGACAAGGCGTCATTTTTTTGGGGTTATCTTATTAATGGGAATATTTGTTGTTAGTTTTCTTTTGATTTTGATAGTGTAGTTCCCTTATATTAGTAAATTTAAGTAACTTTTGTTAAAAAAGAAAAATAGAAACACTTACTCTAGAAGTACTTGTTATGAATAGGCCTTTGGATACAAACCGCCCGAAAATTTTGAAGGGTGGATCTAGGTGTGTAAGTCTATAGGGACTCACATTTTTTGCTTCTTTTTTTTTATTTATCGTCATGTGCGTGTTTTGTCCGGGAGAACAAGCATACAATTTGCTCCCGCGGAGACAAAAGATAGCACCTTTCATTTGGTCGTGAGCGGATCACACGATTCACATCCCCGCCGACAAAAGGGGACTACCTTAGCTATGTATTTACTGCGAGGGACCAAATTTACAGTATGCTCATTCGCGAAGCTGCAGTCTTTTCGCTTTTCGCTTTTCTCGGTTCCCTTCCCCCAAAAAGGACTCGAGACAACGAGGTAGGCACAAAGAAACTGAAAGACCCTGCGCAGAGAGCGAGAGCGAGAGCGAGATAGGGTAGAGAAATGAGCGCGGATTCATAAGAAACTGAAAGGTCCTACGGAGAGCGAGTGAGAGAGAGAATGGGAAGGGAAATGAGGGTGGATTCAGTAGATCCTGAGGAAAGGCCAGGCATCTTATTGGTTGGGGCCCCAAATGTTGGAAAGCGCACAATTCTCTCAAGTAATTCTTCACCCTTCTCCTAATTTCCTTCATTGATTCCAGCTCACCCTCAACTTATACTCTTTTCATTGTTTTGCATCATTCTTGATTCATGCCGGATCGAAGATATTTCACTTAATTTTTTGGTGATTTGATATTGGGTTTTCATATTTATGTTCTCAAGCATCATTAGAGAATACCCAATCAAAAAAATGTTAAGAAAAATTTGCTTATGGTTTACCTAGTCTCTTTTTGTTCTTTCACATTTTGCGGAAACTAGGCTGTAAAAACTTCATAAATGAAGTTTTTTATTGACTCTTTTACCTTTTGATGCCTAGTTCTTTTGAGCAGAGTCTTAAGATTATTGCTATTTCGTTAATCTTGTTGCTGCCAAGATCAAATCTGTACTAGGTTTTTGCAATTTTCAGGATTCCTACATGGATGTGCGTTATTGGGGCTTTACATAATATGCTACCATTCATTAATATACTGTTTTCATTGAAATCAAGTAGCTTGATGGATTTTTTTGGCTGTGATATGATGCTGTATTTTCTGTTTAAAGATCAGAATCTGCCCCTCTGTGCATTCCAACCTTCTCGAATAACCTTATGCTAAATCTATCCCTTTAATGAATCATGATGAATGCCGAGAAAGGTTCAGCTATTCAGTAGATGAACTGCATGGGTTTTTTATGATTTCACTAAATAAAACGGGATAAGTAATTTATGGATCTTAGTATGCTGAAAGTAAATGACTGTAGGCATCATTTTTTTAGTAATTGATTACTTTTCCTTGTGTATCAGGGATGCTTTCAACAGATTTTGTCTCTGATTCGTCATATGAGCCTTCTTGCTATGGGTAGGTACTTGCTGCACCTCTGTTTATGCAAGTTCTTTTTCTTCTTAAAATTTTCATGGGTAGCTTATATCCTATTACCTTTATATGGATAGTGTTAGTGTTCTATTTCAATTGATGAACTTTTGTTTTTGTGGGGTTCAAATTTCAATCAGTTATGTGTTGAATTTACTGATAGCAAATCAGTTATTCTTGCGCATGTTTTGTTCCTCATATGGCAACTTAATTTTGTTCTCTCTCTCTCTCTCTCTCTCTCTCTCTCTCTCTCTCTCTCTCTCTCTCTC